GTCCGCTTCGATTGTTTCATTCTGTCTGGAAAAAAACGAATGTTTTGCAATGTCGCGTATGAGAATGATTCAGACATGTTGAGTATCATGGATTTATGAAGCTTTTTTATTCGAGAAAAGCTGCATTGTACCGAAATCGCCAATCAATCTGTATGTCTGGGACATTGAAGAAGATTCGTCATTCGTATGTGCCAGTATCTCGTAAGTCTCACTACGAATCAACCAATTTTGAATAAAAACCTTTATGAGTGCTCGATTTTCTATGTCCAAATCAGGATCTTACATGATAGTGAAAGTCTGTTCGTCGTCTAGAAAGAGTGAAATGGCAGAAGCTGACTGGAGTGATATATAATAAAAATGTACACTCTAAATGATGATGTAAGTGACATGATCCACAAACGCAGTACTGGCTCACCAGTTGCACGAACTTTTCGGGCAACCTGATACCAATACTGTAAAATATAAAGGTGATATACAAAAAATTCTGACTGTCGTAAAATTGCTTTCGAATATGTCAAATATTTATTTTCCTCATGCCAATTCGTTCAGTTCTATTAAATCATAACTAAAGAAGAAAAATAGATGTTGGTGAGTTTTTGAAGTGTGGTTACATGACATTGACAGTCCATATCTTGAAATTCCATTATATCGGTTCATGCATGTTATGGGCAGTTCATATTTTGAAATACTTAGTTTGCTAGCGAGGACATACACTTAACTACAATATCATCAATCTTCCTAACTTACACCGTACAACCATGAATTGTGAAATAATTATACTTACATGTATGCCTGTATGCAAAGTGTATAACAAACACCTTGTGAATATGCATAATCAGCACCTTCATATTCATTAAACATTGCTTGCATAGCAAGTGGTGTCTTTGTTGTACAATCTGTATATGGTGATGATAAGAATTGATTAGTCTTTTTCTTGTAACCAAGTCTATGTCTTCGTCCAGGTGCAAGCAGAGTGCCAGCTACATCAATAAGTGGTAATTGTGTATTGTCATGAATCATAGCAATCATTCCTACTGACACGTCTATTTTAACGGAAAAAAAAGAAGAAACATATTATGAGATATGCTATGGAAACAAACCTTCTGAAGCATATGGAACATATAGATGACTTTGTGCATAAAGACGTAAAATAAGTTTTCCTGATCCTCCATCATCATTTGTATATCGAAGATCACTTCCATTTGTTGTTTTTGTTTTAGCATTAAATGTAAAGCATTGACCGTAGGTAGAAGACAAAAATGAGATAAAATCATTAGTTGTACAGGTTTTGTCATTGTAGACACATTCGATTAACATAGTATCGAGAGAAAAAAAATACTGAGTGATAGGTGCACCTGTATTTAGCTGAACTTGTAAAAAATCACGAAGAAGAAGAGTCTGTTCCGCAGTAAATGTAGTTGTATCATTCGTATTTGTTGCATTAATGGAATTTGTATAATTTAAAAAAGGTCCAATTAAATGATCATAACGAACTGGTGAATAATTACAAAATGTAACTGCAGGAAATACTTGTGATCGTTCAACAAAAATTGATACAGATGTTTGTGTTGGATATTCAAAATAATTTTTAATCGTTTGAGTAACAGAATAAATCATAATGCCAGTAAAAATAAAAAATGAAACTGTCCAGAAAATACAATTATGTTTACTTTGACTTCGTGCAATACCAGGTAAACCATGAGTGGATGTATTCAAAGCAAATTCTCGAACTATAGAACGAGGTTGATGATTAGATGATTCTAATTTCTTTGCTTCTTTTGCCATCGAAATAACTGGAACCACATGATTATTCGTCGTATTTGTCATGGCTCTCATTCTTAATTTAATATAATATAATAGTACTTTATATGTTGATGTGAATTTCACAAGTAGATGTTAGACTTTTTTTCTGCGTAAATAAGTATGATATTGCTGTTTTTGAATGTGATCAAATTTTATATGTAAATTATAAAAATCAATGATCGATTGATAAATTATTTAAGCACGGAAATGACTTGCGATGATTTGATGTTCTTATATAAAAAAAATATTGTTTACAAAAGTAGCGGAAAGTAATATATTCATTCTTTTCTATTTTCTATCACAAATGGAAAGGAGTTAAAGAAAAATTTTTTGACAACTTCATTGATGTCAATATTAATTTTATTTTACGTGTGTTTACAAAAGAATAGTTCTCTAGTAACTCTTGTTTGATCACCAATATTGGTTCCTTTTCCCCCTCGAGTAATAATTAACATACTAAAAGAAAAAGATTTTCGGAAAAAGAGAGACATAGTGAATATTTTTTTTATCAAGAACAAAGAATCAATAACACCCTTGAGATGAGATTCTTTTTTCTAGTTTACTTTACAAATGTAAGCGTCTTTTCGATTTAAACGATAACGACACTTGGCAAACAATTATCTTCATTTGGTTCAAAACGTTCCAATAGTTTATTTGATTGAATAGTTTAGTCATTTTTGAAATTTAAATTATTTTCTTTTGTTTAGTTGTAGTCTGTTATCGAAGAGATACATTCATTGATTATGATAGGATTAACACTTAGTGATGTCGACAGACTATATTCACTTATCTCTTGCTAATTAATACGTTCCATTAAGCATTGTAGGATAATGTTTCTTTTATTACATTTATTGCAAGCTACTCTAAGATAGAATCGAACGAGCGGTTGATATCGTTGATAAGTCTCATTAAATGAAAACGATGTTCAAAGATTGAGATGTACAAAACTATGCTTTCATATTATTAGATTAATAAACATGAATTAAAAAAAGATGATCAATATTGTAGGAGTAATTATGTGTTTTGCATCAAACAAAATTGAACATAGGTCCGAATAGGGCGTTCTAAATTGAACACAACCGATGTAAAGAATCGCTAGAAGCTCAGTAATTCTCAATACGAGGCATATGTTTTTGTATGTAAAAAACAAACTAATTCTTCGAATTTCTAATCGAATTTTAGAATATTTTGAATGTTGAGAAATACCGGATTCCTAGCCATTCTTCATGTTAGTTGTGTGTAATTTGGAATGCTCTCCCCGAATTTTTTCTTAAATTTCTTTAATGTAGATCACACGTTTCAAAATCTGCTGAAATCGACCGAAAAACTAAAGAAAAAACAAATTTTTCATCAATTTTGAAACCTTTGTTTTCTGTTTCGTGTATTTCGACTATAGCTTCGAATAGAGCAAAAAGAAACTAGCCATGATTGATCTAGACAACCTACAGAAACTACATTCTCAATATGGAAAAAAATGTCGTCAATGACTTTATATTGTAGGAATTGGTATATGCTTGTCGTAATATGACTCTCCATTTTTTTCTAAAGAAGTTTATTCAAAAATACAAGTTTTTGTAGATTTGAATTATTTATTAAAATGAAGACAGTAACAAAAGTTAACTGCCACTTTTTTTGCTTATATCTAAGATACTTGTGAATATAATTGATGATCGATAATGAATCAGAGAGAAAATCAAGCGATCAATTTAAAGCATTATTCAAATCATGCTGATATTCGTAAAGTAAAACTCTCTTAGTCATTAATTCCGTAATATATCCTAACTTTATTATGAATTACAGTTCGCACTGTTATTATCTTTACAAAGAATAAAAATCAACAGATAATTGATTCGTCTTTTTCATGGTCATGCATGAAAAAGTTAATAAAATAAATTTTTTAATTCAGATAGAATACAAGAATATAAATTTGATTTAATCGTTCGTAGTTGAAATTTAACCTTCTTTTACTATCAATGACTTCTGAAAGTCACAAATTTAGTAAATTAAAATTTAAAAACGAGAGAAAAACCAGCATGAATTATAAAATAGATCTATATTTTTCAGTAGAATATAACCATTCCGCGTCAACTTACTGCTCGTCAGCTGTTATGAAAATTAAATTTACTAACGGTAACTTTTATTAATAACTAATTATTAGCATGAAAAATCATAGCTAGCCTATATTTGTCAATGCACCATTGTATACTGTTTAATACCACATGAATTTCATATCGAATCGTCTTGATTGTAATTACAATAAAGTTTCATTCTTACAGGTGAAAATAATTATTATGAAATTTGAAAGAATGTTTTGATATGATTTTCGGTCGATCTATCGATAGGTATAAATCGAGAAATTTATAGAGAATATTGCAAATTTAAGATTTCATGCATGTTAAATTAAGTACACTGTATGTGAGAGAAGTATCTCGTTGACCTAATTAAGAAATATTTATTCAACATTTTGGAATTACATACTTGTTATTAGTTATCCATTGATTCATATTAATTAATAAGTATATACAAACATCTTTAATTTAAAAAAATAGCTCGGAAGAAAACAGTCAAGAATTCACAATCAACCTGTGTCTAACTTTTTTACATGTAAAAAGTTAGAAATTATATCACTTTTATTTTATTCTTTAATTTAAATTCATGTTAATGTCATACTTGAATAAATTCTCTTTGCCAATGAGAAAAATAAATTTATTTGCTTTCATTATATAATGTGTCCAAGATATTATTTTGTGAAACACAATCAAAAAGTATAGAGATAAAAATTTGAACTTTCTCCCATATAGACAGTAACAAATGTTGTTGATATACGATCATATGCCATACATCGATAACGTCTTCTTAGAATAAGGCGCGTAGTCAAAGTTCTGCGATATTTTTTCTTTTGTATGTAACTCTATTCAGGAACATGATAAAACCTTGTTTTTTTTTGTCAAAAGATTAGTCATCGATTGATCTACTCAGATCACAAGACCATATCTTTATAGCTAGTTTTGAAATTTAAACGGACTATCAGTAATGAACACGTGCATGAATCAATTGATTTGGATGCTATAGCCTACAATAAAACCTTTTCTTATTGCTGTATTACTCTCAAACTGCATCATCTGAAAACCAGTGAAGTCGATGTACAAATCCTTAGGTTAAATTTTCTCAACTGTCTGAAAGAAATAGTAAAAAAGAATTAAGTTTAACAAAATAATAAACGGATAGCTTGACTTCAACTGAAGATGATGAAAATATGTTGTGGAGAAACCAGTACTGATCTCATGAGAAGTATTGCTAAGAACAAAATTACATACAAAAGAAAAAATGTTGTAATGTATCCTATAATAGATAGAATAAAATAATCTTCTAGTGAATAACAAAAACAACTAAATTATATTTTATATTTTGATTCTGTAGAGGTTATCATTTAATCATGAAAAACATTTATTGAAAACACATTTTGTTAGAAAAGTTCTACTACGAACCAACAGATCGAATTAGAAAAACAACAAAAAACAATGGTGCAAACATATTCTGTGTCTTTTGACTTGTTGATTAAAGTCGACTTTCATCACCATAGGGAAAACACAATTTTCGAGATAAACCAGATTTTCTAACACGTGAAAAGTAACATATACGTGGCAGTAGTACACTCCGTTGTCGAATATCTTTCGAAGACATTGATGAAAGCTTTTTGATTAAGTTGGAATGTAGTTTGTTTGGTATTTGATGATGTTTATGATGAAATAAAAAGATGTTCTGGGTGCTGCTTGTAGTAGTTGAAGTCATAGTAGGCATTGTGTTAACTTGTAATATTGAAGAACAACAGATAATTATTAATAAACACATACAAATTGCAAGGTTAGAAGCCATTGATAGTAGAATAATGAAATAGAAATGTCAATAGATCAGAAGAATTTATTTAAATATAAAAAAAAGAAAAGTCATTGTTTCTAACAAAGTCATAGTCATGTTTAACAAACTACCATTAACCAGATGTTATACTCATTATTTCTCTCGTCTATGACCAATAATTTTGCTAACATCCATCTTTCATAAACCGTATGTTAAAGTTATGAAAAATCATGAATTCAAATAATGTTGAAATGATCAAATACGTTTCCAAGAATGACCAAAATATGAAGAAAAATATCTGTATATATATGGGGGTTACAAATTTGACTGGTACCCCGTTTTGATACAGTCCAATTGTAAGGATAAAACCTACTATTGTCCGGGCCATATAAGAGAGGATCCTACATAACCCTGGATTGGCCCGAACAACACCATGTTTTATCCTTACAATAGTAGAGAAACGCTGCCTGCCTTATCGTGGGGTCTGGTAGCGTTTCTCTACTATTGTAAGGATAAAACATGGTGTTGTTCGGGCCAATCCAGGGTTATGTAGGATCCTCTCTTATATGGCCCGGACAATAGTAGGTTTTATCCTTACAATTGGACTGTATCAAAACGGGGTACCAGTCAAATTTGTAACCCCCATATATATTATTAATTCGATAATCAGATCATAGCTTTCAGTTTCCTCCAAAATGTTCGAGTTTCTGCCAATTGGTTATAGTTGCGAGGTAACTCTGGACAGAAACCGAATTTTGAAACACAATTTGCCTTTCTTTGGCAGAAAGCGGAATACAAAATAAGCAGAGAATATTGGTGGTTGATGGATATGGTTCTAGGAGGTCCTAGAAGATGGATGACCTGGTGACAGGTTGTCTGTTTTAGGAGAGATCGGATCATAGTGAATTTCGTTCTTCTCCCTCTCTACAGCCCCTAATTCTATTATTTCGAAAATAGAAGCCTTTTCTGCCGAATTTTCAGTCCGTTCATCCCTAAAAGTATATATAACCCTGGATCAAATTTTAATGGAATGGTAATTTAAATGCATTTAATCGTTTTGATCTAATTGCTTTTTTTTTAATCATCTTCTTTCCATTGGAAATATTTAATATTAATGTTTTTTATGATATTCTAGGTTTTTTTTTGAAGAATATTAATTTCTATACCTAGCATGT